TTTGTAAAAGTCTCAGAGGATTGAAAAACTGGCCATGTAATACCGTTACTAAAAAAAAAGTGACAAGAAAAGGTAATTATAGGTCAGTTAGCTAGACATCTGTTATTGGGAAATTTTAGTCTATTACTAATAAAGTAATTGTAGAACAGTTTATAAGGTACCACATATTAGGCTAATTAATAAGAGCACAGGGTTTAGATGTAGTACGTTAGCATGGATAGACGATTGGTGAAGACAGAGAGTTGGGATAAGGGGTGAATTTTCAGGATGACAATCTGTAACTAATGGAGTTTCACAAGGATCACTGCTGGAGCCACTATTAATGACATGGATGAGGAAAGTGAATGCTCTATAGCCAAGTTTGCAAATGATACAAAAATAAGTGGAAGGGCAAGTGGTGTTGATGATACAAAGAGGCTGTAGAGGGATGCAGACAGGTTAAGCGAATGGGAAAAATCTCGGCAGATGGAAATATTGTGGGAAAATGTGAACTTATGTACTTTAGTAGGAAGAATAGAGGAGCTGAGTACTGTTTAAATGGGGAAAGAGTGCAGAAAGCTACAGCGCAGAGAGATTTGGGTGACCTCATACATAAATCATATAAAGCTAGCATACAATTTCAGCATGTAATAGGGAAGGCAAATGAAGTGTTGGCCTTTATTTCAAAGGGAATGGAGCATAAAAATAAGGAGGTCTGAGAAGAAGGGTCACAGGACATTAACTCTGTTTTCTCTCCAAAGACCCTGCCAGACTTGCTAAGTTTCTCTGGTAATTTCTGTTTGTGTTTGCTTCAGATGTCCATCATTCACAGCTCTTTGTTTTATCTTAATACCAGGCACTAGTCAGGGCCACACCTGGGATACTGTGAACAGTTTTGGTCCCCTTACCTAACAAAAGATATACTGGCATTGTGAACTATCCAGAGAGGGTTCACTGGTTTGATTCCAGACATGCAATGACGATGTCAGGTTGGAATGGGAGGAGTGTCGTGTTGGATCAGCAGCGGAGTCTTAGATCTGGCAGGGAGGGAGTCACATCTGGAGTTTCAGGGGGCACCTGGGGTATGGTATCATTGGAGATGGGGTGGGATTCAGCAGTGAATTAATGGTTTAGTTTCCTAATAGTTAGCCCAGGCTTAGAGATTTTTAATACTCTAAATTTTCCTGAATAACCACTAAGCTTAAATGAATCAAAACCCTCTGAATTATCCAACTTTAAAATGCTTTAATGAAATTTGCCAGTCAACATGTTCATTTTCTTGGGAAACTCTCTCAGTTATTTGCATCGGGATTTCAGCAAGCTGCCAATGTACAATACTGTGCAGCAACGACTGTGGGAATTGTCAATCCAAATGTGCATTCATATTCTAAAGAATAAACTGTACTCAAATTAAGAAAAAGGATTCACTGTTTTACACAGACAGGACATTACACAAATATTTATCTAAGAATGCGCAGTTATGTGCCTCTTCAAAGGTTAGTATGTTCAGCTGCATTAAGTAAATACTGTAAAAGGTCATACAGAAAAAGTTCATTAAAAATTGCTGAGACTGTATTGTAGACAAATGCTAATGTTTGTTACACAAAGTATACAGATACAGTTATTTATATTAGCCAGTACAAGATACATGAACTGCGATCGGGGTATATATCTCATTTTTTCATAATGAAAGACATTGATCATTTCTAAGAGATTTGAAAAGGGTACATACATGCTTCTGGAATGGGTAAACACAGGGCAGATGAAAGTTAATGCAGCAAAGTGTGAAGTTCTCAATGTTGGTAGGAGAATGAGACAATGTAAACTAAAGGGCCTAATTCTGAAGAGTTTGCATAAACCAAGAGACCTGGGGTACATGCACACAAATCACTTGTAGGAAGAATGCGCTCTTTAGAAACAGCATGAAGGCTTTAGGGAGAGAGAGAAGATTTATGAGAATGGTACCGGGCCTGGGGATTTTCAGTAGTGCGAGTATATTCAAGAAGCTGGATGGTCTCCTTGGAGAAGGGAATGTTGAGAGAAGATTTCAAATGTGTTCAAAAACCTGTCTGAACAAAGAAAAATAGTTCCCAATAGCAGATAGGTCAAGAAGTGCAGTGATTGGTTAAGAACTGGGATTACCCAGGAGGATGCAAACAGATACGACTGGAGTTTTAAAAGGGAATTGGATAAAAAGCCTTAAAGAAAAACAAATTGCAAGGCTATGAGGAAAAGACAGGGATATGGGACGAGATGATTTTCCCTTACAGGACAGGAACTTGAAAGTGAGTTATTTCAAAGGAGACAAAAGCTAAATACAATTTTAAAAAGACAAACAATTAAAATGCAAATTTAAAACAACCAGAAACACACATTCTGATGATGTCTGCATAAGGCAACATCTGAACAAGATTCAGGCTTGGATTGATAAATAGTAAGTAACATACTTGCATTGCAAATCCCACACAATGGTCATCTCCAACAAGGGACCTTTCCCTCTGGACACCCTAGTCCATTCCTCGATGACCACCAACACTGCATCCCCTTCCCACAGCACCTTCTCATGTAACCGCAGAAAGTGCAACACCTGCCCATTCACCTCTTCCCTGCTCACCATCCAAGAGCCTAAACAGTCTTTCTAGGTGAAGCAGAATTTCACCTGTATCTCCTCCAATCCAGTCTATTGCATCTGCTGCACCCAATGTGGCCTACTCTATACTGGAGAAATCAAACACAGACTGGGTGACTGCATTGCAGAACACCTCCAGTCTGTGTAAAAACATGATCCCGATCTTCCTGTAGCCAGTCATTTTAACACTGTGCCCTGCTCACATGCCCACTTGTCTGTCCTTGGCATGCTGCAATGCTCCAGCGAATCACAGTGCAAACTGGAGGATCAAATCTCATCCTCAGACTAGGCACTTTACAACCTTCTGGACTTAATATTGATTTCAAGCCCTTCAGATTATGAACCCATTTTTTTCCCTTTCTTTTAGCTTTACTTGTTGCATTTTCTGTCACCATGTCCTATTGGAATGGGGGGAGGGGAGAGAGGACCATCTGTTCTTTCCAGTTTGACTGCTGGACACACCATTGTTCTGCCATTCTCACATTCTGATAGCTTAATCTGCACTATCAACATCCTTTCTCCCCCAGCACTCCACCCCAATACCAGAGTTTACTGTCAACTTGAACCTTAACTTGACCTGGGTACTATGCCTACTAGAGAAAAATCAGATGTTATAAATTACTTTCTGTCTTCCAAAGAGCAAGTGTGATGGAGTACACTTCACTTATCTGGATGAGTGCAAATCCACCAACACTCAAAGCTGAACACCATCGAGAGAAAGCAACTCATTTCATTGGCATCCCATCCCACTTCCTTAAACATTCACCTTCTCTATCACCAGTGCACAGGAGCAGCAATGTGCATCATTGACGGTACGCAGAAACTTTGCAAAGGCTCCTTTGACAGTACATTCCAAAACCACAACCTCTATCACCTAGGTAAAGAAACAACAAATCAGAAACAAAAACAGAAATTACTGGAACAACTCTGCAAGACTGTTCTGAAGAAGGATCACTGGAGCAAGAAGGTTGACTCTGCTTTCTCTTCACATATGCTGCCAGACCTGCTGATCTTTTCCAGCAAATTGTTTTTGTTTCTGATTTCCAGCACCTGCAAATCTTTTTTTTGTGTTGAGCACTGAACTTGATACTATCCGATAGTAGGCACTAATTCAACTGAGTTATGAGTTATGAGCTCATAGTGTTGTGCAGATTATATTAGTATGGATTGGAAATTGGCTACCTAAAAGGAGGCAGAGAGTTAGGATAAGTGGGGACATTTTCAGGATGGCAACCTTAACCAGTGGCATTCCAAAGGGATTAGTGCTGCAACCAGAATTATTTGAATGTATATTAATTATATGGATGAGGAAAGTGAATATACCATAGCCAAGTCTGCAGATGACAAAAATAGGTTGGAAGGCAAGTGGTGATGATGACACGAAGAGTCTGCAGATGGATATAGACAGGTTAAGCAAATGGGCAAAAACATGGCAGATGGAATATAATGTGTGATTATGCAGTGTGGCAGGAAGAATACAAGAGGTGAATATTATCTAAATAGAGAAAGACTGCAGAAAGCTATGGAACAGAGAGAGTTTGGAGTCCTCATTCATGAACCACAAAATGCTAGCAGCAAAAAGAATGTTGGCCTTTATTTGAAAGCAAGTGGAATATAAAAATAGGGAAGTCTTGATAAATACTGTGCTAGAATACTGTGAACAGTTTTAGGACCTTTATCTAAGGAAAGATATAGCAGCATTGCAAACCATCAAAAAAAGTTCATCCCTAATGACTGTCTAATGAGGGACTGTCTTATGAAGAGAGATTGTGTAAATTGTGCCCGTACAGTTGGAATTTAGAAGAAGGAGAAGTGCTTTTATTGAAACATAGAAAATTCTTAGGGGTCTTGATACGGATTATTCCCCCCTGTGGGGGACTCTAGGTCCAGAGGGCATAATTCCAGAATAATGGCTTACACATTTAAGATACAGATGCAGAGGAGTTTCTTTTTCTTAAAGAAAAGTTGGAAAATCTGTGGAATTTTTTACCCCAGAGGCCCGTTGAGACTGAGTTTTTAAGCTTATTCAAGGCCGATAGAAACAGATTTTTAATCAGCAAGGGAATCAAAGGTTATGGGCGAAAGGCAAAACAGTGGGTTTGAGGATTATCAGATCAGTCTTGATCTCAATGAGACACAGAGTAGACTCAATGGGCTGAATGGCTTATTTCTGTCCATATATCTTATACCAACTAAAGAAACAGCTCATAAAATCAAGAGCTCAACAGAAAAACTGGAAACCCCCAAAGAAAGTTACTCAACAATCTGTTCATGCATTTTAATCAAACAAGTCTATGTATGCTAAAAAGTGCACCTCCTTGTTATGTGGACATGTTCAAAGATATCAAAAAGCTCAGTCACCTCCAGAAATAAAATTGCTATTAACAAAAGATTGCAATTCAATTGTATTTATTGTTGGATCTACACTGCAGGGTTCTTGTGCTTTGTATCCGTAGCAAGATACCTTTGATCAGCATCAATGCTGAAACTGTGTACATATACCACAAAATTATGCATATTTAAGGAAGTTTACAGCTTTCATTACTATCTGCAAACTTAACAGCAATTTTATGAACTAAGTTTCAGAAACTGCTTAACCAGCCAGAAAGTACTGTAACAAAATCACATCAAGTTTAATCACTAGTTCGTTGTAAATTATTACAAAGCACTGTGCCCCACCCCATTCCCCCTCCACCCACCTGTACTTTAACTAACCAGTGGCTCAAAGGTAGATCTTCTACAACAATTAACAAGTCTGGTCGAACTGGTTGCCAAACCTTGTTGGTTTCTCTAGACAAGAAATTTATAGCATTTTTAAAATTCCAAGCATTAAACTGTGCTTTTTTTTAAAGCAGAGAAATACAGATACAATAATTATTCATACTTGATTTGTAACTAAATTTCAGTCCAATTAGGAGGCATGAAATCTGCCTCTGTTGTTCCTTTGAATTAGAAGACAACTTTGTGTAGTTCTTGATGGTCTGGCAAACATAGCATTCGTTGTTTTCAAGGCATCATCCTTATCTGCAGGAAGCAATATCGAATGTACCATCTTTGTTACTGCCAGGAAAGCGGTGAAAAGTGTCAAAACTGCTCCAAAAAGGTATAATTTGACAACTTTTGAATTCGGTCTCTGTCCTGCAATAATCGCTTTGATCAAATTCATCCAGATATTACTGACATCCTTCATGTTTGTATATAATTCAAGGTTGATTTGATGATTTAGTTCTTCAGAGTTCTACAAATATCTATAAACAAAAATTGGTTAATGAATTCATCATAGTATTGAAATTGCAATAGCAAACAATAGTTTGGAAAAAGACAGAAGGTGCGGGAAAAGCTCAGCAGGTCAGACAGCATCTGTGAAGAAAAATCAGAGAAACGAATCGTTTCTCTGATTTTTCTTCACAGATGCTGCCAGACCTGCTGATCTTTTCCAGCAATTTGTGTTTTTGCGTCTCATTTACAGCATCTGCAGTCTTTTCGGTTTATTTAATAATTATGATATTTGTGCACACTTTTTTCAGTTAAATGCAATCCTTGAAACAGGTGCATAGAGTATATAAGACCCCGAGCCTTCCGTTCTATTTTTAAAATTTCTTTCATTCTACATCCTTTGGCCAAATGTTTCAATGTGTTCAAACAGCAACTCTGCTAGATAATCTTGGTTTCTCACTTGAGCTCAATCATGGACTTTTACAGTACAGAAGGGGGCTATTCGGTTATTTCTGTCCGCACCGGCAATCGCTAAGAATAATTTTTCGGGCAGCAGAGAAACTAGCTGCCAGTGTACATTAGAAAATTATAAACTCCAAAATTAAGTTTTCAATACGTATGGGAATTAAAATACGGCCTATATAATCAGAGGGCAGGATAAATTTGCACGTCAAATCTGCGTCTTAAGAAGGATGAGGAGCCATGGAGCAGCATGCAATCAATGAAATGCAGCCGCCGAGTGGCAATGAGTCATTTAGCTTGAAGCAAGATAATTGATGGTTACTCTCGATGTCTTAATTTTAAGAGATTCTCTCAAACCGTGCAATACTCACCGAAAGCAGGAGACATATAAACGCATTCAGGCAAACACAAGTTAGGACGTGCAGGGACAACAGCGAACCGTATCAGTTTGGAGGGAGGAGCTGCACGCCTCAGGGGGTAATGCCGACCTTTTGGAAGCTGCAGCGCTGTACCGGGCTGCAGGGGTGAACACCAGGGAAGCCGCCGGGAATTGGGATCCGATAAACCTCCCGCAACCCACTCCTCTCCGGGGAGGAGTCGCGCGGGCCGCTCCTGACCAATCACAGGTCAGTACCAGCCTGGTCTTCAACATTTTCTGTGACTACTGCAGACTCTCCTCCAATCAGCTCTCCTCCGCATTGTGACGTTTTGTAGCCCACCCCCTCAAAATGTATCCTTTGACCGTGCATCCCATTCATATTTTGTGAACAAAAACAAAGTTGCTGGGAAAGCTCAGCAGGTCTGGTAGCATTTGGACCCGAAACGTTAACCCTGTTTTGTCCTCCACAGATGCTGCCAGACCTGCTGAGCTTTTCCAGCAACTTTGTTTTTGTTCCCGATTTACAGCATCCGCAGTTCTTTTGGTTTTCATTGATATTTTGTGTGTGGCACACAGCTAACACTCATACTAAAGCAAAATAAAACTGCAGATACTGACAATCTGAAACAAATTGCTGGTGAAACTAAAGAAGTCAGGCAGCATATGTGAAGCGAAAACAGTTCTGAAGAAGGGTCGTTGGAATCGAAACGTTACCTGCTGAGTTTCTCCAGCAATGTCTAATCTTGCTTGAGGTATCACTGTGACAGTCAACTTTTATCAGGACTACCTGTGCGTCAGGAGACCCACCTTATCAATACATTCGGAAGGTTCCTGCAGGAACAGAAACAGGTCATTTTAATCGAACCAAAAACAGAAGTTGCTGGAAAAGCTCAGCAGGTCTGGCAGCATCCGTGAAGAAAAATATCAGAGTTAAAGTCTCAGGTCCAGTGACCCTTCCTCAGAACTGATGGTAGCTGGAAAAACGTCAGTTTATATGCAGAAAATTGGGAGGGGGTGGGATAGGGAGAAAACGATAGGATAGAGCCCAAAGAGAGAGAAGCACAGTTGGAGAGAGAAAGGAGTTGTTAATGATCAGGCTGGGAAGGTGAATAGTTGTTAATGGTGTCTGTTAGTGAATAACAATAGGTAGTGTGTAATTGAGGTTGGTTGGCTCGCCGAGCTGGTTTGTTGTTTTGCAGAAATTTCATTACCATGCTGGGTAACATCCTCAGTGCAGCCTCCGGTGAAGCGTCAGTGTGTTTTCCCACCTGGTTTTTAAACTCTGGGGTCCGCTGAGATGGATTGCCTCACTTTTGGTTTTCCTTCGTACTGGAATGTATATGAGGTCGAGTTCAATGTGTTTATTAATAACATGCTTCGTGGAGTGCCATGCTTCCAGGAATTCTCATGCTTGTCTCTGCCTAGCCTGTCCCAGGATCTTGGTGTTGTCCCAGTCGAAGTCGTGGTTCTCCTTGTCCATGTGGATTGAGATGAGTGAGTATTGGTCGTGTCTTTTTGTAGCCAGTTGGTGTTCATGTACTCTTGTTGTTAGTTTCCTTCCTGTTTGTCCGATGTAGTGTTTCTCGCAGTCTCTGCAGGGGATCTTGTCGATGACATTGGTCCTGTCCATGGCAGGGAGTGGGTCTTTAGTTCGGGTGAGCACTTGTCATAGGGTTGACGTGGGCTTGTATGCCACTCTGATGCCCAGCGGTCGTAGGAGTCTTGTGGTGAGTTCCAACATGTTTCTGATGTAGGGTAGTGTGATGAGTGTGTCGGGGTGTGTAGAATCTTTCTGATGCTGTTCGTGTAGGCATCTTCTGACCAAGTTCTTTGGATATCCATTATCCTTGAAAAGCTGGAAGAGGTATTCTTCTTCATCTTGGCGTAGTTCCATGTTGCTGCACTGTGTTGTTGCCCTTTTAAATAGTGTTCGCACGCAGCTTCGTTTGTGTGTGCTGGGATGGTTACTATTGAAGTTCAGTACCTGGTCCGTGTGTGTGGCTTTTCGGTGTACAAACACTACATCAGACAAACAGGAAGGAAACTAACAACAAGAGTACATGAACACCAACTGGCTACAAAAAGACACAACCAATACTCACTCATCTCAATCCACATGGACAAGGAGAACCACGACTTCGACTGGGACAACACCAAGATCCTGGGACAGGCTAGGCAGAGACAAGCATGAGAATTCCTGGAAGCATGGCACTCCACGAAGCATGCTATTAATATACACTTTGAGCTCGAACCCATATACATTCCAGCACGAAGGAAAACCGAAAGTGAGGCAATCCATCTCAACGGACCCCAGAGTTTAAAAACCAGGTGGGAAAACACACCGACGCTTCATCAGAGGCTGCACTGAGGATGTTACCCAGCATGGTAATGAAACGTCTGCAAAACAACAAACTAGCTCGGCGAGCCAGCCAACCTCAACACCCACAACCCGAGCTACAGATCTACTCCAAAACCTTAGTAGTGTGTAATAGCAGGCTTTGTGATAACAAGGTCTGGTGTGTGGGGTAGGGGGCTAGGACATGGGAGAGTTTAAGCCCTATAATTATTGAACTCATTTTAGTCGAATACGTTTTATGTTGTGTGCTTTATATATTGTAATTTGTCATTCACCCAGTTATATCTTTGAAGGTTTTTCCCTTGCTCTGATTCTGTACATTCTTTTCACAAAAGTCCAAATGACCGTGTTATTACCATCACTGAATCTCCCAATGTTACCTTTGACCAAAACCTCAAGATAGATTCTTGATCAGTCAAGGAATCAAGGGTTACAAGAAAAATGTGGGACAGTGGACATGAAGAATGTTGGATCAGCCATGAACCTTTCGAATGGTGGAACAGGCTCAAGAGGCCTCAAGCAGCATACTCATGTTCCTATTTCTTACAGTAGAAAATGATGCAATGTAGCAATGAGAAATCTTTTCATTCTTATTAGCATGGGAAGATGCGCAAGAGGTCAGTGTTAGAGGAATGAAGATTTTTTTGATAGAGGAATAGGGTCGGAGAAATTATGACAACAGGGAACGTATGTTAGCTATGGGTAAGAATTTTCTTACATGCTTTAATAGGCTCGATCCTGTGCTCAAATTCACATTTGAAATGGAACTGTCAATGAGTTTCCTTTTATAGGGGTGACCTGTACCTGGCTTTGTTAGGCGACTTGTACCTGACCACACTAAGCAGCCCATGCCTGATTACAAGATGGCAGACAGAGCTAAGCAAAACTAAGCAGCCATTCTGAGAAAGGGTCACTGGACCCGAAACGTTAACTTTGATTTTTTCTTCACAAATGTTGCTAAACCTGCTGAGCTTTTCCAGCAACTTCTGTTTTTGTTCCTAATTTACAGTATCTGCAGTTCTTTTTTTTAAGCAACCTGCTCACACAGTGAAATACAATGGTACTTTGAACAGAATTGCTAGAAGGTCAGTAAAGAAACGCTGTATGTTCCCATCCGAGACAGTTCTAATAAAAGGATGCCTTAGGCCACATAAATGGCCACTTCAAGCCTTATTAATGAAAGGATGATTGTCCCAGTAAATGAATAACATCAGGTGCTAGATTAAGTCCTTAAGCAGCTGCAAGAATAACAGCTAAAGTTATTTTGTAGGAAATAATAGTTGCTTCTTTGAAGCTACCTGCAATATTAAATAGTTTCTAGCTAAAAATGCTCTGATCATAAAAGTTGGTTTCAATACATAACCAGAATTTAATACAAGCCTTAAAATCATTTAAGCTTAGATGTGGAGGTTAACTAGCTTTAGGAGATGCCTTCTCTTATGCCCTGAACAAGATTGCTCACAACCCATGAATTACAAAATACTGACAGGAGAAGTAGTTTTATAACATTATACTTATAATTGACTTTATAACAGAAGTTAACCATTAGTGATTAGTTAAAACTAACTGACTTTTTATTTTTACGTTATGTAATTGGGACAGTGGGGAAATAAAAGAAGTAACTGAATGGGATAAAAGACAGCACCAAAATACAATGTCTAACAGAATTCGAGCTGTCCTTACAGATAAACAAGCCTGAGAAAGACCCAAAGGAGTATAGCCATTAAACTTTTGGAACGTGAATGAATAGGATGCATAGAAAGATCCCAAGGTCTAGAGATTATAATGTCTAGCTAACACCATAAGACCAAGGGAACTGGGGCTGCCCATAGAAGTGCCCATCCCTGATTAGGTGTCCCATGGGATTGGGTGTTTTGATTAAGGGGAAGGACAGTGAATACGTTGCGTTTGATTACTGCAACACAAAATGTGTAAAAATGCTGTATTTCTTTGTAAAAGCAGAGGGTGTGTCACTGATCTATCCTCCCTAGCCAGATTTGGGGAAGATCCTTTGGCCCTCTCCCTGCAAAAACCGGTTTCTGCTTGAATAAATATCTTCCACTTAACTGACTCCTGCCTACCTCCTGTGTCTTTGTCCCTGGTCGGGAAAAATACTCCTACAGATTGGCACGGCGAGCAGGGTGCCCTGCCTGAAGCTGGCGCACCCTTGGGCCATGATCTGGGCAAGCATGTTTATATACCACCCTTCCTAGCTAATGTAGCACTCGGTGGGGGGTTTCCATAAGCCAGGGCATTTAACAAACTTTTAGATTGGAGTTAATACGAGATGTCAGGATCAGGCATAGTGGAAGTTGGCACCTAGCGTGAAATTGCGCAAAATAGTGGAAGGGGATCTCGGCGCGAATGCATGAAATAACATGAGAAAGCAAAATAGAAAAAAAGTCGGTGGGGGTGGGCATTGCAAGTCCCGGCCCTATCACACATAAAATAAGAGAAAAAAAGAAGCGAAATAAGAGAGAAAAAAAAGCGAACTGCAAAAAGAGCAGAAATCTCTGGCGCAAGAGAAGTGCAAGTTGGGAAAATAACAAGAGTCTGGGGAAATAATAAAACAGTGAAATAGAAGCAGCCACAGTCGGGAGAGTCTGGGAAAGTGGCAGGGAAGGATTGTGGAAAAACGGGCTGGGGTCCAGACTGGTCCATTCTGCAGACTGTGTTTGAAAAAGCCACAGAATCGTACTGAAAAAGCTACAGTGTTCATACATAAGAAAGAGAGAGAGCAAGACAGCTCTCTGTGCGAGTTCACTTAATCTTGTAGAGGTATTAACTCTTTGTGGTCTGGTTTGAATGCACCTTTATTTGTTGCTTGCTAAATGCTGTCTTGTGCAATTGTGTTTTTGTTCCCTAAGAGCTC